TGTTTGTTTTGTTTTATTTAAAATATACAATTTTAGTGAAAAATGTTTTCTATGCATATATCAAGTATACAGGAATAATCCATATTATTTTTTTTATCTACATTAATGTGTGCTCTGAACAGGTAAAATAACTAACGTGCTATTAGACTGGTGTGCGACGCCAGATCCGGCGATTTGTCCAAATGGTTGTGGACACTTCTACAGAGGAATTAACCGAAAAAAATTGCTACGCAGGCATATGGTCTATGAATGTGGTGTGCCATCTAAGTTCAAGTGTCCCATTTGTTCCAAACGTTTTACAAGAAAATCAAATATGAAAGTACATGCATTTTCGGTACACCAAACATTTTTGTGACATTAATTTTGGACCATCCATAGCAGTCGTTCCATATGTTCTAAATAATTTAACCTTTTAAGTTCGAGCACAGAAGTACAGAAGTATTTCATGAATTGTGATGATTTCATATTAGCTTTGTGTATTCTATACTCAGTTTATACCCAACAGTATTAGTCATTAGAAAGTATCTATAATCTATTAATTTGTGTTTTAATAAGTTACTCATTATTTCATATTTGTTATTGTTATTGTATTAAAATTAAGTAAATTTACATTAATAATAAGTATTGTATACTTGTTAACATCATATTATTTGCTGTTGAAGTCTTAACTAATATGTTTTAGTAATAGTGTTGAACCATACCATACAAAAATTAAAACTAACTGTACGCGATTCATAGATAATTTATTGTTGTATTATATTTATGTTTTACTAAAAGAAGTTTTACCAAAATTTGTAAATACTGTTTTTTTCTTAAACACTACCTGTACAATTTTTAAATAAAATCAAAAGTACTATAATATTTTGTTCAATATTATTATGAGTTAATGATGTTATTTAATGAAGAAAACCTAAAAAAATAGTTTAATTTATTCAACAATTATAATATGTGATTTTCTTGTAGAAATATGTTAATTTTGAACTATAAAGATCATTCGAGAGGATTATCTTCAGCAATACTACAATTTGTATTTCAAAAACTGTATGATTTCTACAAGAACTACAATTTTTATATTTTTAGTAATGCAGTAGAATTCACTTAATTATTGGAACACATGGGCGGTGACCTATTTGTCCCCATTAAGCGGATTCTGCTGTAATAGTTTTCATCATACTTCATAATCCACTAATTGTTGTCAATATATTTATATTATTTTTTAGTACCTACAGTATGGATGTGAAGATGTTTTCAATCAACTGTACAAATAATTATAAACAATGAAATTTAGCCAGTGTAGCCTAAATACAAAATATTAAATACCATCAAAAATTAATCCAATTCAGTCAAGTTCATTTTTGAAAAAAATTGAACATTCATAATGAAACAAAAATAACAAGATACATGAAGGTAATCAAATAAAATCAGCTGTAACAATACAATATTAGTGTTTTTTAAATTGTATTTTACAGTTTACAATTAATTATATGGTGCAAATTTTAATGAATGACTATATTAAAATTGTTAAATGTTATCAAATTATATTTTGATTTATAATTTATTATTTTAAATATTATGTTCTTCATTTTTGTAATAAATATATAAATATATACATTATAATAATTGTGTATTTCTTGATTTCATAGTAAGATATAAGAATCAAGACATTAAAATTAAATTTTAAATTGTTACTGTTTTAAAATTAATAATAAGATTAATATTAATGCACCTACCTATTCAACTCACTTTTTATCACTTATAGTTAAGAATTAAATTTTTTACTTGTACAATGTAAATATAACCATTAGTAGCAATTTTTAATTTAAAATAATTTTAAACAATTATTTAAGTTTCAATAAATATAATATTAATACCTGGTTTTATCAACAATCACTAATTCAAAAAAATAAATAGTGTGCTATTGGTCCCTTAAACATAACTAAGTGGCCCATGGTTGGTCCATAACATTTTAGTGTAGTACAGGGGCGGACTGGGGCAACATTTTGGCCCGTGAAATCTATATTTTGACCCAGCCCTTGCCATTTATCGTCATCACAAAAATGTAAAAACTTAAATATACCAACGTTTTATTCAATGAGGAATGCAGTCTTTATACATTTTCAATTTTCTCAGAAAACAACTTAAGATTTTTTTTTTTCATTAATTGTTTATGGCATCAACTAAGAGGTTATTAGCCAGGGGTTTTTGGGACTGTTGGGTTCGGAACTTGTGTGAAACTTAAGATTTGTTAAACTAAACTTACCAAATAGTTTCAATATGTAATTTTAATTTTGTTTAATATTAATGAAGTACTTCACAAATAAATAATATATTGGTAAAATTCATTTAATCATAACATAATAATATTTAATACCTTATGTAAAAATATAAAATATTATGACACTTATATTGTAGTATATTAACTTTTATTAGTTATAACTAGATTTAACTCATTTTTCCTTTAGAAATAAATTATATTCATATTACATACCTATTATTTAAAAAAAATACTAGGGAAAAATAATAATTTTAGGTAATAAATAGGTATTTACATTTTTAATGCTTATTTGCGGTTGATTGCAAAGATTTTCTTGCATTACTAAAATAATATATAATTCAAATTATTGATCATACTCAAACTGCTGATGGAGTATCAGCCGAACCAAAACCTAAAATCTATTTTTAAACACCAAATGTAAACAATTTTTCATACACGCGCGTAATGATAATATCAAAATATAAAATATTCATCATTTGAATTTATACCTATTGGCTATTTTATTTTAAGTAATAAGTAATGTAATAATAACAAATTATTTTTGAACAGCGGCCCACCGGGAAAGTNCATCATTTGAATTTATACCTATTGGCTATTTTATTTTAAGTAATAAGTAATGTAATAATAACAAATTATTTTTGAACAGCGGCCCACCGGGAAAGTCCCCGGTTTCCCGCCGGCCCAGTCCGTCCCTGGTGTAGTATTCAATTTTTATGCAACTCGGCAGTAGTCTAAAGTATTAATAGCAAAATATCTTTTTCTTGTCATGTTGATTAATCTTATTGATTTGTTTGAAATTCAAATAGTAACTTAAAAAAATAGATTAGGAGTATCTTGGCACAGATTTGTGCTATTTTATAATGCAACATCAAATTCAAAATTCTTCATCACTTTTATAAAAGATTTTTTTAGGAATTAGTCATACCTAAGATTTTGTTAACTTAAGCACAATTTTTTTCTCAAACTATTCGAATTCATACTCAAACTCAAACTTGATGCCTCTCCAAACTATTTTTGAACCTTCAAACATCCAAACTTTAAAAAATCAAATATTAATTTTTTTACCATAACAAACTAAAAAGTTTACTATTATAAATTATAATTTATGACAAAAGAACAATAATTATTAAAATTATTATTTCTTATTAGTCATTAGTTATTATCCCTTATTAGTAATAATACTGTTAGTGTAAGTAACAGTAGTACTGTAAGTAATAACTTATATTGTTATAATAAGAATTTCTTTAAGTTATCATAGTTTTATACTAGTAGCTTTAAAAATAAATTTCAAAAATTAACAGTGCCTACACATACAAAATAATAAATTATGCTTGAAGAACTATTCTGGATGTTTGTTCAAACTTACATTTTTCTAGAACTTTAAACTGTTTAAATTTCTCAAAGTTTGAGGTGTTTGAGAACCCATCCCTACTTTTTTTTTTTACTGGAAAAATTGGTTAAACTATTACCAGATTTAAATTATGTTTAATCTAAATCTTTAAGATTTACTTACAGATGTAAAAGCATTTCTTATGTCCAGGGGCGGACTGGGGCAACATTTTGGCCCGGGAAATCTATATTTTGACCCGGCCCTTGCCATTTCTCGTCATCACAAAAATGTAAAAACTTAAATATACCAACGTTTTATTCAATGAGGAATGCAGCCTTTACACATTTTCAATTTTCCCAGAAAACAACTTAAGATTTTTTTTTTTTCATTAATTGTTTATGGCATCAACTAAGAGGTTATTAGCCAGGGGTTTTTGGGACTGTTGGGTTCGGAACTCGTGTGAAACTTAAGATTTGTTAAACTAAACTTACCAAATAGTTTCAATATGTAATTTTAATTTTGTTTAATATTAATGAAGTACTTCACAAATAAATAATATATTGGTAAAAGTCATTCAATCGTAACATAATACTATTTAATACCTTATGTAAAAATATAAAATATTATGACACTTATATTGTAGTATATTAACTTTTATTAGTTATAACTAGAGTTAGGATGTTGATGACTTTTGCATTTTTTTTCCTTTTATTCTGTACAATGCTATCCTAGCTAAAAATTTGTTTCATGCTCCCTTGATGCAGAATATTCTAATTTTATTTTGCATTTTTTTGCATTTTTTGCATTTTCAGCTATAAATGCATTTTTTTGTTTTTTAACGTCATTTTTCAACATTTTTAAGTCATTTTTTCATCTTTTAGAGCATTTTTTACAAATTATAGATTTTAGGGCAAATGTTACACCCAAGTTTGGAAACAAATTTAATTTATTTAAAATCTAACTTTGGATTTGGACTATTAGTAAAAAATAATTTTAATATTATTATTGTGGGGTTTTTGTTGTGATTACATTTATCGCGTTCCGATAAGATTTACTCTTTGAGTGTTATATATTGAATTATTTAAATGCTTAATATATTTATAATTCATATTTTAAATTACTATTACACCCATTATTATACCCATATCTCTAATAAAAATTATTATTTATAAATAAGTTTTTTCACTTACTTAATTAGTATTTTAGATAATTTTTAAGGTCATTTTTTGAAGTTTTCAGAGCATTTTTGCACTTTTTTTAGGGTTTTTTTGCATTTTTTTTTAGGGCATTTTTGTTTGTTTTTTAGGTCATCAACATCCTAACTCTAGTTATAACTAGATTTAACTCATTTTTCCTTTGTAAATAAATTATATTCATATATTGCATACCTATTATTTAAAAAAAATACTAGGGAAAAATAATAATTTTAGGTACCTAATAGATAGGTATTTACATTTGGAATGCTTATTTGCGGTTGATTGCAAAGATTTTCTTGCATTACTAAAATAATATATTATTCAAATTATTGATCATACGCAAACTCCTGATGGAGTATAAGCCGAACCAAAACCTAAAATCTATTTTTAAACACCAAATGTAAACAATTTTTCATACACGCGCGTAATGATAATATGAAAATATAAAATATTCATCATTTGAATTTATACCTATTGGCTATTTTATTTTAAGTAATAAGTAATGTAATAATAACAAATTATTTTTGAACAGCGGCCCACCGGGAAAGTTCCCGGTTTCCCGCCGGCCCAGTCCGCCCCTGCTTATGTCTAAAACATTATTAATTGATATACTGATAATTTAAATAAAACCCAAAGTATATAATGATTGTTTCCATCTTCATCTTATTATTTCTTTTATGTATGTATAATTTTATTTTGTTTTATTATAATTTTGTTCATTAAATATTGCTTTTAACAAATGTTGTTATAGTTCCCAATAAATCACAAATAACACACTCAAAGTTTTACTTAACTACAATAATATAAATTATTTTCAATTTAATACCATTCATAATGCTCTTAACTCTTAAGACATTGAGATGTGCGAGATGTGAAGGAAAAATAATGTATAACTCATTAAACTTTTCCATAACAAGTATTTGTGGTACTACTTTTACTCAGTTGCACTATGCCCATTGCATGTAAATCACATAATAACTGTTAATTCATTAAATAAAACATGCACCTAATGTCTCTAATTCTAAATGAGAAAATACCAATATAAAAATAATGTTTAAATATTACTTAATATTCAACTTGTAAGTATCAAAATAGGATCAATTGGTTAAAGTAAAGTATTATCAAACTTTTTTCCAGCAATTTGTTTTTTATATAATGTGAACAATAAGTATAGTTTATAAATTAAGCTGATGTTGCAATGTTACACAAATTTATATAATGATGATTCTTTCCAGCAAAGAGATATTATAAAATTAAGAACACATCTACTCTAAAGTCACACAAGAGGTTATACATTGGGTATTTGATGTAGTACTTAAATTTGAATTCATTTTTCTTCTGATTGTTATCTTTTGCTTTGTTGCACTTCTGTATGTATTTTACATATAAAATGCATCTACTAACTTTTAAAATAATTTAATTGTTATTATAGGGTACTGGTTAGCAAACTTGGATTTCTTTGCCAAAGATGATCCAGCCAAATGTCCGAAAAACTGTGGTCGCAGTTATAAAGGTATACACAGAAAGAAAGTTTTACGGCGTCATTTAGTGTATGAATGTGGTGTAGAACGAAAATTCATGTGTAACATTTGCTTTAGACGTTTTTCACAAAAATATTATTTATCTACTCACTTGGGCACTGTGCACAAAGTTTGAATAGTTAAAAATTCTTCTTCTTTGATTTTATTGTAAATTTGTTGTTAAACTAACATAACTACTTGTATTGTAACAGTAGGCAAACTTTAGATTTATAGAAAATGTGATCAATATTTGTCTTAAATGTATTTTTGGAGTGGTAATACATTTCTCTATTGATCAGCTACATATCTGATCAGCTATGATTTACAATCACCCATTGTTTTATATACATATATATACACCGGCTGTGTTTTTTAATTAATAATAACCCTGTTAATAACCCAAAAATCAACCAAAAGTTTGTTATTGATTTTTGAAGGAACCTTGTCTTGTGAAAGCATTTATATTTTAGTCATTGCTTCAGTATGTTTACTTATAAATAACTCAGTATGTGTTATGAAATCAATAGTTAAAGTAAAAAGTTATATTGTAAACTGAATTTAAATAGTATAATTTTATATTAAATTGTATGTATGCAAATTCAATCATAAATATTTATAAATAAAAATAAATATCAACTACACAAACTTAAAAATAAAATTTTATACATTTGAAATAATAACTGATACATTGAAGTCACTGATTATTTCAGAAAACATTACAATTTTTGGAAAAAAAGTCAAATGTTCAACTATTTTTTGAAAATCAAATTTCAGACAAATAGTTTATTAGTTACATATAAGTATTTAAAGCTTAGTAAACCACTATTTTGCAGGGTACTAGGATATCACTCCATCCTACTCATCGTAACTTTAAATACTTAAACTACGTGTCCATTTTTTTTTAAATAAGAAATTAAGTACTCCAAAAAGTATTCTGCTTTGGAATAAGAAATTAAGAATGCAGTTTTTCATTAAAACAAAAAAAAATTAAAACATTATGATGTTCAATAATGTACAGTAAAAATTATATTTTTTTAACATCTTAAGATAATATGCAAAAATATTTTCAAAAACAATAATAGTTTTTGTAATAATGAGAATCTTATTTTAGTGAATCGCCTAGTATAGTATAAATATCTTATATTATGGCTACAATATAAACACTTAAAATTTAATTACATTCATACAATTTTCATTGCTTCATTTTTATATACCCTTATGAACAAATTTGGTAAGTTGTAAAATACAATATTATTTTTCAAACCAAAATATTACAGTATTTACATCATAACATGTAATATATTGATATTGTTTATACTGTTGAGTTTTCTTTGAGTTTTTTTTTTTATTTAAATTCAATTATCTGAATTTTCTAATTGTTTTCAGGAACCGTGTTCACATAATATTTATACTATCTTTAATTTTACTGTATCAATAGTATAATATATTGTTTGCATGATCGTTATAAGTGCAATAAAAAAGTAAAATACTATACAACATTTAGACGCAAAATGAGTATTTAATTATTCTAATTTATCAATTAAGATACAATTACAAACCTCGTATTATTCATAAATCCTTAAAAATTTGTTAATATACTTCATTGTAATTTGTTATTCATATGTTTTAGCTGGATTTTTGTATACATAAATTGGTAATGACATTCTTAGCATGTATCATATTCATACCTTATCTGTAAAACTCAATTTATTTGTTGTAAAAAAAAACCCAATTATTAAAATATATTTTTTAAACAGTTAGTTATATTGTAAGTAAAACATTTATTGTTTATAGCTCATTAAAAAAATTTAAATTAAATAATTGCAAATATATATATATATTTTTTAAAGTGTCTTCATTTTTTTAAATTTTAAATAATAAAAATCTAGATTAGACTTAACTCATTTTAGTGCATTAATGTATTAGTATATTAATACTTTATTTTATATATTTAATGAAAATAAATTATACTTTTAGATTATCAAAAAATTGCAGAATCCAATAGGATTTATTGTCCAAATCAATGCGGCCACAGCTTTAAAAGAGGACCGTCCAGCAAAAAAAGTCTCAACAGGCATATTAAGTATGAATGTGGCGTGGAACCACTATTTCAATGTTATCTTTGTCAAAAACGATTCGCTCATAAATCAACTTTGAAAACACATTGTCTTTTTATACATAGTATGATAATTTGATAAATAGTTTACTAATTTCTAATAAACATAAATTATGTTTAGACTATAATATGTAGTATATTTTTATATGTGAAAAATTGGGAGTTAAATGTAAATCACTGATTGATTTTGCTACTTATACGGTCTACAGTTATTATAATAGATTTTAGGTTCATGTTTAATTTATATTTGATTTTATTACAATTTGACTATAGATAATTCTAATGTATTACATTGAATTATGTTATTGCTTTATTTAACTGTAAATTATTGAGTATTTCTAAACTTATTTGTAGAATTAATACCAGTTATATATTTTATAGGTAACCTAGAAATTGTGCAATCTTATAGAATGTATTGCCCTAAAGCTTGTGGTCGTAGCTATATAGGAGCTCACAGAAAATACAATCTCAAGAGGCATTTATTATTCGAATGTGGTGTGAAACTACAATTTCAGTGTCAAGTTTGTCAAAAACGGTTCAGTCAAAAATCAAATATGAAAACACATTGTTTGCTTGTACATAAGATAATAATTTAATAAATTATATTTAGGCTATTTTTACCTGATAATTTCATAATCATTTATAAATAATAACAACACCTTCATTAATACATACTATGCTGTTATTTATATTCATATATTACTTAGAAATGGAAATAAATAAATGTCCTTGTGTAAAGCTACAGATGCAGATTTAGTTTTATTGCAATTTGATTATAGATAATTCTTATGTATATTAACTAATTACATTGAATAATATTATTGCTACGTTTAATTGTAAACTAAAGAGTATTTCTAAAATGTTTGTAAAATTAATACCTGTTATATATTTTATAGGTGATCAAGAATTTGTGCAAACTTATAGGATGTATTGTCCAAAAGATTGTGGCCATAGCTATATTGGAGCTTATAGAAAACAAAATCTCAAGAGGCATTTATTATTCGAATGTGGAGTGGAACCAAAATTTCAATGTTATCTTTGTCAAAAATTATTTCGTCATAAATCTTCTATGAATAAACACCTTCTGAGTATTCATAAAATATGTCCTTAATTTTATTTTATTAAAATTATAAAAAAAATTATACATTTTGTTATAGCAATTAAATAATAATAAAAACATATTTATATATGTATATATACATATATATACACACACACATATATATTTATATACATATATATATAAGTGTATCTGTACTTATTTTTATTATTATGTATATATTAATTGGAAATGGCCTTAATTAAAGATGCTTTTATGATTCGTCTTATATCTCTTTTTCATATACATATTTATATATTGTATACATTATAACACGCTACAAATTTAATAGTAAATGTCTGCTTGATATGTTACAATTATATTTTAATTAAAATACCCAAACATCATACTTATTTTTTATTGTTTTTTTTTTTTTATAGTAATTCATTCTGGAACAATGATATATTTTGATGAACAACAAGAGCATTTCCCAAGCGTAGTAGATAGAAACGAAAAGGGAAGAAAAAAACTTCGAAGATGCCAATTATGCGCACTGTCTGGACGAGGTCGAAAACGAACACATGTATTTTGTGCAGCATGTCCTGGTCAACCGGGTCTCTGTGTTGATACGTGTTTTAAGGAATATCACAAAGAATAATGTATTATATATTAAATTAATGACGATTGCATGTATTCAAATTATTTTTTTTTTTTTAAGACCACAGCATATTATTAAAAATAAATGCCTATTAATAGCACTAATAATATATAATGGCTATTTAATATTTTATTTTGTTAAATGTTCTGTTATGTCGTAAAAAAAAATCTTTTTTCTACAGGAAACACAGATTACCTATTTGTTTTTATTGAAACTTTTATTTTGAACATTCCATATACCTTTATATTATTATATATGTATAGGTTTTCATATGTATGATTAATTAATAATAATGATAATGAATAAACAAATATTTAATGTTTTATATAATTATTTTTTGTTGTCTGGTGTACCTATATATTATTTTCCTGAATTATGTTAGTTAATATTTTGACTTATTAACATTTACTACATTTTACTAGGACTGTAACTTTTTTTTTAGATCTTCAATTTTTCAGGTGCAATAGTTGTTTCAACTTTGTTTGATCAACTATGATTACATATTTTAATCACTGTGTATATTGGTTAATGTTTATATATCTTTGATAAAAAAAAAATAGTTAAAATAATCAACTTACCTTTCCTAAATTTGTTATTATTTTGTTTTAATTAACTGTAAACTGTTTACTTGTATTATTCAATGATAACTTTAATTAAAATATTAAACTTTGTGTCCAACCCATTCAAAGGTATTTTAATTTTCACACGCTTCAACAACATCTAAAAAGCTTTTACCCATAGTCACATTTTTGCAATGTTGGGTCGTGTATATGTACTCTTAATGCTTTTTGTATCCTCTACATTAAGGTAAAAACAAATAGGAAATGGTTGTACATAATTATGCTTTCAGTAGATGGTCTAAAACATTTTTTTCTAATTTTTTTTTTTTTTTTTATCATAATGAAACATTTTTTTCTAATTTTTTTTTTTTCTTTTAGTGAAACGTCCTGTGATCTTAGATGTGATTGATATATCAAGTCATTTAAACTTACATTATCCGCACATAGTAGAAAAAAACCAAAAAGGACAAAAGAAACGACGTCGTTGTGTTCTGTGTTCATCTCGAGGTCTTGGACAGAAACGCACTGATGTGTTTTGTTCTATTTGCCCTGGTAAACCAGCGCTGTGTCCTGGTACTTGTTTCGTGACTTATCACTCAACCAATCTTTAAAATTTAAATAATTTATCAATACAACCATTGGAATCCACCTGTTAAAAATGGCCAATGTCTATAAGACTCTTATCAAAATGTATTTTAAAAAAATAACATTATATAAATTATGATTCTTAAAAATATTCTAGTATTCATTATTAATATTTGTACACCATGTATTATTAAAACTACATTATATACATCAAACACTAATTCCCTATTGCAGGGTAGGCCTCTACTGTTCTGAAAGGTGAACAAAAGTGGGTATGTATTTAAATGTACAATAGTTTTATAAATTTTGTTATCGTTTAAAATCAACTATTATACTAATAAATATGATTTTGAGAAAATTTAAGACTTATACTAGCAATTAAGATTTCATCCTTTCATAATTAATAATATTTGGTCAAAAAGTTATTGAGGTTTATTATTTTTTTATTTTACTGTTGCAGCTTCTATAATGACTAGTGTATTAAATGGTCTTTATTCATAACAATATTGTTTTTATTTTTATTTTAGTGAACATGAATGTTTTCAAATACCTAGCATCTAACAATTAATAATTCAATTTTTTTATAATATGTGATATTGTATGTATAATATACAAGTATTCTATGCAATGCTTAATCTTCCTTATGATACAACATGAAATGTTGATATAATGTTATTTTCTAGATTTGCTGTATACAGTTATTACTTTTTTTATTTATACACTATACCTACACAAACATACATCATAACATAGTTTTATTTTTTTTTTCAAGGTACCTACTTCCCCGATCCAGTTTATTGTCCAAACAATTGTGGTCGCTGCTACAAAGGTGTAAGAAGAAAAGGAAATCTTAACAGACACATCAATTACGAATGTGGTGTACCGAAAAAATTCAAATGTATTTACTGTTCGAAAAGCTTTGCACAAAAATATGATCTTAAAACACATTATATTTTTGTTCACAAAGTATATGAAAAATAATGAGTTAATTTCCTGTTAATTATGTATTAATATATAATTGTTGTAACTTGTATTGTGGGTACTTCTTATTTTTTACAATTTATATTTCAGTATAACTTCAAATGTTTTATATACATTATGTATGCTAAGGCATATTATAACTATTCATTATAAATATAATAAAAGTACCAATTTATATATATGAGCAATGAGCATCTGCAGCAGTCCAAGTTTAACATATTTATTGTGTTTATATTTTTTAAATGCAAATAATTATAATTAAACCGGTTTGATATCATTGACGCTGTTGCGACTTACTTGTATGGCTTTGTAAACCTAGTTGATAGTTGATAAAACAAGTGAATAAAAAAAGCCACAAAAACATCAAATATGTATTGCCCAATTTTCCTATACCTTTAAAGATAAATACACCTAAAAGCATTCATGATTTATTTTCTAGGTTTCATCATTTACTCATGCGCGAAGTATGTACCTACCCAACTAAATGTATTGCATTTACAATGACGTCCCTATAGACAAATTTTTAATACGGGTGTGAATAGGGTTACTAGTAAACTTGGATGCATAGAACCAAAACAGCTCAAGTCACAAAAACATAATATGTTATATTAAAAGGCATTTTGTAGATTAGCTGTCACCCCATTGGCAGTAAGGCAGTAAAAAAAATTAAATAGTTAGGTATTACAATATGAATGCCAAAACAAATTAAGTGTTGCCATCTATCGGAACATTTTTTTTTTTAGTGTTTAGTCGTCTTTGATTTGAAATATCATAATATTTTATTGTCAACGATTAATAACAAATAACCGTATTATTATTAACTTTCGAACAGTTCGAACTTCGAACTACCACCACACGAAATGGAATTTGATTTTCTCTTTTGTTAGTCGGCTAGGTTGTCTTATTAATCCTATTTCTATGCATCTACAATTTTACTGTTTTACGAGTAAAATATTTCGTTCTAAATGAACTTACTACCTATAAAAACGTAACACTACTACACTAGTATTTGTTGTCTCCGTCTTACCAGTGCGTAATATAGCAAAATTACGCTCGGCAGAACACTTGTAGCTCCTTTAGTTTAAAAATTAGAGTGAATCGACCTATTATGAAATTGATGGTAAGAACTAAGAACATCGTCTGTGTTTGTACGTTGGTTTTTTACGATAATTCAATTTTTTAGTAAGTTATATGAGTATAATATACGGTAAATTAAAAATGATCATAACTCACTTAAAAATTAAATTATCGCAAAAAACCAAAGTACAAACACAGATAATGTTCTTACCATCAAGATCAAGTTTCATAATAGGTCGATTCACTCTAATTTTTAAACTAAAGGAGCTACAAGCCTACAAGTGTTCTGCCGAGCGTAATTTTGCTATATTACGCACTGGTAAGACGGAGACAACAAATACTAGTGTTACGTCCTCTTAATTAAACTATTACCTATGTCCTATACAGTAGGGTAATAGTCTCGATAAACGAAATTGGAGAAAGGGATCGTTCGGATTAGCGATTTGTTTGATTACCTATGGCTTGAAAAAAAACATCAGTTTTATTGTAATTTAAATTATGAAATTTTATTTTTATCTGTTATTAATCATGTAAAAACTCTTTAACTTCAAAAGACAACGAATATATAAAAATATTAACTATCATAATAAACATAACCGAACAATTGTATTACCGGAAAATATTATTTATAAATACATGTGTACGTATTAGATAAGATAAGATAATCCTCAAGGCTCAAGCCCGTTCGGATTACCACGTCTTTCGGATTAGCCGGTGTTCGGATTATCGAGACCCTACAACTGTACTACTGTAGTATATTATTGTAATCACTGGATAAAAACTGTACCGCAAATCGTTCGATAGATACTCATACGTTTTCCCGATATCGTGGTTTCGTCGGCAACTTTCCGGTCGACCACTTGCGTCGGTAGAATTTGGTGTGGACTGTGGAGTTCTAAAACCCAGTGGCCGATACACGTGGCTGCCGCAGCAGCCGACCGGAATGACCAGGGAATACGCTTAATAATTAATATGATTTCAGATTTTAACTTATTCTGTGATACGCGCCGAGCGACTGCCCGACTCGCATCGTCAATCCGATTGCGTGTTTGTGTATGATAATGGACGATTAGTAATAAAATATAATAATATCAAAGTGCAGTGAAACCATCTATTTAACTATACTGACGACATTCGGTCAAACAAGGGTCTTGGCCGACTGTTAGGTCTTGTACGTTCGCTCGTCTGGTCTGACGAAACGCGTTGGCTGTTTTCCCAGGTAAGACGCTCAAAAGTCACCTATCACCGTGCCATTATAATACAGCGGGCAATTTTTAATAATTATGTATATAGTATAGAAATATATTATATAACAATTAACATTATTTGGACCTAGGAATGTACGCTTTTATTCATAACGCCGTTCGCTGTGTAATAGATAGGTAATAGTTACTTCGCAGTTTGCACAGGTATAATTAGGTATATAATTCATAACAGGTCCTTAATGTTTAGCCGTAAAGGTATAAAATTGGCTTTTGTAAAATACTAGTACATAATTGGAAATTTGGAAAGGAACAAATGTATTCAGCAAATACTGTAAATGATAAACAGTATTTGAATGTATTGTAAGTACTTGAGCTCACAAATATCGATTTTTTTTCGAATTCCCGCATTTCATCGATTTTGGAATTTGATACGTTTAGTGCAATCATTTTTAAGTTAGATTCACTTAAAATAAATTTGTCATGATATACCATTTATGACGTGCGTAATCAAAATACCACCCAACCGTAATATTGCGGAAACATGGGTACTCGCCACTGTTGATTGAATAGTGAATACCTACCTAATTGCTAATTGGATTTTTTAAATATAAATCCTAAATTATGATACATAAGCAATTGATTTAAATCATATATTTTATATTTTTATAATAACAGAGATTTTAAACAACCGTTGTGAATGTGCGATCGCGATTCGCGATAGCTGTTATCAGTTATCACGATCCCGTATACGCGTATTTCACTGTGCATAGCACGGAATAGATGAAATTTATTTATTTCATCTATTATGTATGCTGATAGTACTTTCATTGCCCTATGCGTGTACGTAAAAATAGAAAATTATGAACCCTAAAAATATATTGCTTCGAAACTGTGTCCGACCGAAAAATGTACACCAAAAGCTAAATACTCAGTGACTTGTTTTTAAACAATAAATAGAGAATAATTTGAAAATTCTATATATTTCAGAGAAACACAAATACATTGTATATTATGATGGCCAAATACTGCTTAATACTCATATACATAATGCAGAGGTGCAGTGTATGCTGTGTACAAGGGGGAGGGTTTTAAATATAAATATTAAATACAGGTACCCTTAAAGGATTATTGACTATATTTTTAATTTTTCAAGTATTAAAGGTACTGAAAAAGAATAAATATTACACCTTTTTGAATTGATATAATCACAAATGAAAGGATCTGATGAAATGGTATGAGGAATAAAATTAAAAAATATTTAAATATAAATTATTACAGAGTAAAAATAAATAACAGTTTAGTAGGTATTAATTACATTCTTCAGAATCCTCCTTTTAATCATTTAATTTTAACTGGTTAATGGTTGTAACAAGTAACTTATATTACCTACTCTCCAAATATTCAATACAACAAACAAAACATCAAATTTGAAATAAATTTTTATATTTTGTTGAAGTACCTATTTTTAATTGAAAAAAGTTATTATTATGTGGTGGTAATACTTTAGTATGTTGTAATATATTATTTAGATTTTTTTAACTAATATATTTAGGTAGATGTTGTATTTTGGATCCAATAAAAAATATGAAAAGTTGGGTATATAAATACCAAATATTATATTAATATGAACATTGTTACCTACTTAATTGTTATTTAAAAGAAAGTCACCTTGAAAGCCCCTTTTAGTAATTTGTTACTTTTTAAACATAATTATTAATTTTAGCTTTTTATCTTATTATTTATTAAAAACTTTGCTTTTCTTAATACAACTTTAATTGTATAATAGTTAATGCAAGCATTAAAATATTAATTGAGGAAGTCTTGTTGTAGATTATCTGTAATTTATTAATTATTGTGGTTGTACAATATATACTTTTGTCTAAGCACGTAGTGTCAATTGATCTGTGTATTATAAATATATTACCTTTGTTTATCATAATTCATAATATGCTTCCTTTTGCTTTTATACTCTATGTGAATTATCAATTATATTATATACTATATTATATTATATTTACATGAAATATAACAAAAAATAATTTAAGTATACAAGGTAAATAACCAAGCATGCTCAACTTCAAATTTACCTTTGATATTAATTTATTCAAATTCTGATTTTTGGAATTTTGATGTATATTTTCAAATAGGTACTGAGAATTTTGTACCATTTAAGTAAGTCTTGTACCCTTTAGCACTACTAGATTATTATTTTTTAACTTAACCCTTTCTCCTGTAAATTGATAAGAAGTTGACTTTTTGAAAATGTTGATGTATGTCTTCAAATCAAATTTTGAAATGAGTAATTTTGACAGCTAGAGTGGACTTGTTTGAACAAGTATTTGAAAATATGATCCTTATATATAGAGTACTCTCGATTATTTACTCATGAGCAAAGTATGTACCTACCCAACTTAATGTATTGCATTTACAATGACGTCCGTATAGACAAATTTTTAATAAGGGTGTGAATGGGGAATTTGTTTATCCGTGGATGTCCTGCCACCCTATTCCAGGGATAATCAAGAGTACACGGTACTTAAAAATATAGAAAATCAGAATTTGAATAATCATTTAATGGGTATTAAGGGGAAAATGAGAATGAGCATGCTTGGTGAATCACACTAGTATATCTATACAAACAAACGTTCATTTTAAAATTGTATTATTCTGATTTCTTAATGGTAAAACTAAATTTTATTTTTTTATTTTTAGCATATTTGTTACATTGAGTTTATAATTTTAAAATTATTGTGAATCCTAAATATTTTTTTTTAGAACACATTGATCCAATTGAATGTCCAAATTTGTGTGGCAGGTCATACAAAGGCAAATTTCAAAAATCTAGTCTCAGAAGACATCTTATTTATGAATGCGGAGTTGATCCTCAATTTCAGTGTCCTGAGTGTCAAAAACGATTTGCCGATAAGGGCAGTATGAAAAGACATGCTGTAAACATGCATTATAGTAAATAGTAGTAAGAATTAATAGATAAATATATTTTCTAGTTAAAACAAAAGTTTTTAACAAAAATATAAATATGTTTAAATTTTAAGTAAGGCACTTTTGTCTTATAAATTGGTTTGTCATTAAATAAACATGAAAATTGTATACTTAATTAATACTAACTAAATTAATATAATTTTTTTAAATGTAATTTTATATGTTTATTTTTTTTGAATGTTTATCATTCTATATTGATTTTATTTTGAACATATAATTTGAATCTTTGGTTTATTTCATAATTACTTCATTGATAAATATTTATCATTCTTAAATTAATTATGTAACATTATAAATTTCTATTGTTTTCAATATTTTTAATTGGTATAAGAAGGTATGTCTATATTAGGAGTGAATTATTATAAAGTGTATTACTACAGTAGTAGGGGTGTACTTAAAATTGAGATAATGTTTTTTTAATGTTACATTTTAAGTTTTACTCTCTTAAATTTTGATATTTATCCTATAATACTACTGGCATTATACAAATGTTAAGACATAAATAATATAATAAAACAGAGATAAATTATTTTATCTTATTGCAGAACGAAAAATTTTAAAGCATTTGTTAAAATACCAAGCAAATCCTGATAAACCTATAGTATTATAGTATTTTAGTTTTGTGTTTGCTTGCTACATTTTATAATATTTTTAATCAGTACTCAGTTATATATCCCAGTATTTACAACAATATTCATTTTATTATTATTATATTTTTATAATCGTCATCATAATTTGTGTTACAAATTAATGTATTATATGTATGTCTTTGAAATTGTATTTATTTGCTTAAAATTTAAAATGTATCTTAGATTTGCATATTGTATCTAATTTATAAATTGTACTTTCAGAACATCTGTTACCAGATCCTCTATTCTGTGAGAACAATTGTGGTCGATACTATACGGGAAAAAAACGTAAATCAAGTTTAAAGAGACATTTAACATATGAATGTGGTATTGATCCTCAATTCAAATGCATGTACTGCCCAAAACGTTTTACCGTAAAAACTAACATGAAAAGACATGTTCTTTTAATTCATAAGGTCCATGAATAAGCTTATGTATTTGATACATACAAACCATTTTTTATAAACAATTAAAATTCTATTATACAGATATTATCTGAAAATTTAAAAATATGTTTATGCCAATGACTAATTTTCCAGAAACTATTCATAACTTGGTACTTTCGAAATGAATAATGTTCATGTTTAGATTTGTATTATAGTTTTAGATTTAAAAACATATTATAATTTAGTAAAATTGTAAATTAGTTTTATGATAACAGTTTAAAAATTTCTTACATAATATATTGCTTAAATTATAAATTATTTTAAATATATTGTCAGTAAACAGTTGTTATTTCATACCAATATTTACTTATCTACTAAGATAATATTTTAACTAATAAATTATACCAATAAAAAGTTGTCTGCTATATGATGCCAAAATGTACAAGTTATCTTCGGCCAGGGGAATTCAAAATGCCCATAATTTGTTATATTTTTATGACTGTTGAAAAAATGTGTATGTTCCTTTAAAAATAACCTAATATTTAAATACTTTTTTATATACCTTTTGATTTATATCGATCTTCGATGTATTATTACATGTAATTTACATTTAAATTAAATATTGAATTAATGTTTTGAAAATTATGCAGTTGGTAATTAAATTGGTAGGAGGAATTCCATTTGGGTATGATATATTCTTAAATAGTATTGCCATAGTGGTATATCTAAAACAAAAATTAAAATAGGATTTTAATATTGACTATCCTTTAAAAATAAAATGATGAGACAATCAAACCAATATTGGTTATTGCATTTATCAGTGTTTTCTTTATCAATTATTGAGTTACCTATACTATAATTGTATTTTGTTAAAAAAATTGATCTTTTAGTTATATAGTTATCCTTAATTACTAGGGTTCGGATTTAAACAAAAATTATAGAAACAATTCTTATTTAAAAATGTATCTAATTTAATCTATTACAAATTTAATTTAAAATTTTTCTTTTGTTTTTTTACATTATACATGCTTTTTTTGCTATGTTTTTTACATTTTTTGAGCTTTTTTATTATCCATAATGCCTTGAAATCTGAACCCTACTTATATGTATTAATTACAAAATATTATATTCGATTTGTTTGTATCTAATCTATGATTAAATATAATTTATATGTTAATATTCATCGACTAATGATTTAAACACTTATTTATTCTTTGCAGTTTTGTATGCTGCTGGTCAAAGATTTAAGTGCCCAAACGAATGTGGTAAATCGTACAAAAACAAATATACCCTTAAGCGACATTTATTTTTTGAATGTGGTGGTAAAAAAACATTCTCGTGCAACCTGTGCAGTAAAAAATTTTCACAGAACACTAATCTGAAGTCACACTTAGCATTAATACATCAAATTATATCTTAATTATTGTTTAAAATATGTATTTTATTTTAAATATAGTTGAATACAAAACTCTATCATTGGAAAACCATTTAATATATTATATGAATATTAATGATACGATAAAATTAAAATAAGAGCTAAAGTGATTAGTTAGTTATTGTTTTTTTTATACCAGTGATTACCTAACCTTTTGTCTTCGTGCGGCCCACCATGAATACAAATTCAATATTAAATATAAGTATATTTATATCTACTTATTATATGCCCATAATTTATGTAATGTAAAAACAAACTTTCATCTCAAAAACAGACTATGGGTTGAAAGTCTCTGTTATATACAGTAGTTGTGCTTATTGGGCTCACAGTTTATTGTTTCATTCATTGTTTGTTCTTAAACAAACTAATCCCAATATGCACCTATATTACCATAGTATCACATAGAAAATAATTTGTCTACTGAACCCAATATACCGGCTAATGATGTTTGTTATAATACACAAATTAACAGATTACTTTTAATTTTGAATATTTTTATTAATTTTCTTCCTATTGTAAAATCATATATAATAGTATGTCCAATTTTATGACTGAATCGTTCAATCAGGATCCCAACTCTATTAATATCATTAAATTAATGTCTCCGATTTACCAATTTACTCAACAAACATTAATATATCTTAACTGTTGTTTAAATATTTATCAGTTTACATGTAATCCATAAATAAATATAAAAAAATATAACTTAATATGAAATTTAATGAAATATTGAAATATATAATAAACAAATAATAATCAATATTTATGTATGCATACTGTAGTGGCAGTAGCCTAATTTCTCTACTTAACTTATATTATATCTTTTTTATTTTTACATACATACATATTTTATTCTTGGCCTTTCCTCTTATTGAGTCACTTGATCAATAGACCCAAATGCTCGGGACTGTATTTGAAATTAATATTCCTATTCATCCAAGAAGCCATTTAATATGAGAAAATGTTTTAGGTAATAGGTCTAAGCATCATCTTATTAATTCATATATATGTGTATTATATAAACAATATATGTAATTATGTTTCAATCATATAATGTTAATTTAATACAATTCAAAATATGGTGTTTTTTTTTAAATATTCTATAATAATAATATTATGTATTTGTTAATAATTGTTATTATAAGTGTACATACTTAATCAGAAGTGAATAATACTATTTATATCTATTAATATTGCTATTGTTTATTTTTTTAAATTATATGTACATTTTTACCTTGAAGTTCAATTAATAACTTGTAGCACAATTTTTTGTAATTATCACTTGGAAAATGTATGATAAAAACTATGCTTTTTCATTAAATTTTATTATGAGTCGCTTTATTATTACTATTAGGATAAATCAAGTAGGTCGTGCACTTGTGATTAAATGATTTCAAACAATGCAAATATAAATATAAATAATCTATAAAAATGTTATATTGTTTATTAGTAAAACAGATAAAAATATTGAAATTCTATGTTTTTCAAAATATTAATATAAATCACTTGGATTTAATTCAAATTTTAATTTCAGGGTATGATAATCATCAATCAACAGAAACTCGTCACTTTTGCCCTAATAATTGTGGTAAAAGTTATAAATTTTCTAATACCTTAAACCGACATATAAAATATGAATGTGGAGATTTGCGGAAATTTCATTGTCCGTGCTGTTCAAAGGCTTTCAGACAAAAATCAGCTATGCAAGGACATGCAGCTACCATTCATAAATGTCTTATTAAATAAAGAAATATATAAGTATATGATATTATTTATTATATTAATAAATATTTTACATGTACATGCAATACTGTAATAGTATATTTTTTATTTATATACCTATTTTTAGAATAGTATATTAAAATTGTAATCAGATTAAACTATAACATTTATGAGCCTCAATAAGTATTAATCAAGAATAATTTCATTGTACCACAATGTTTAAATAAAATTGATTGAATAATATTAAAACAATAATATTTTAAGAGGATATCTACTATTTAATTGATCTCGAATCAGCTTATAACGCAGTTACTTATTTGTATATCTAACAATGCATTAATACTGTAATTTTTGCTTTGTTTAAAACTTTAAAAATAATTTTAAAAATTTGTAAGTAGGATTTTTCAACATTATTTTTTAAATAAGAAGGGTTGAAACAATGTTACTGGATACCTTGATTCATGCCATATGTAATACATACATACATGTATATTGTGTTTTCTATAGGCTGATTGTAAATATTTGTTTTTCATTATAAAAATAAGATGATAAGTTTACTTGTATTTTATACATTAATCTGGCTTTAAACTTATTTATTATGAATCATGCTGTATGACATTTGTTATTAAAAACCTTGTAACTTGCTAAGTATTATAAATAGATTATAATTTTAGTGCTAATTGATTAAACTTATTGTTTTACTAGAGGACCATACTATTATCATGTATTATTTTCTTATTGTTATTTTATTTATAGGTGTTAAGAACAAACCTATTTGCTAAGTTTTAAATAAGTATTTGATTTTAATCAAAGCAGTTATCAATTTCAAATTAGCATGGTTTTTATAATAGTTAATTGGCTTTTAATTTGTATCTTCAATCTATTTTTTAAATCATACTATACTCCAATAGTGGCTCAGTGTAAATTGTTTAAGGGGCCAATGTATTTTAATATGTATATTAATATCATTTAATTATAATTAATACATATTCACAAAGTTAATTATAATTTATATATATCTACTAGTTATGACAATTAATAATTTGATTTACTAAATAAAATGTAAAAATAGCTTGTAAATTAATAAACTATTATTCTAAGGTTAGATTATTACTATGATTATATAATATATGTATACTATTTCTTATTTTCACTATGGTGTATTGTGCTTGTATATTTAAAAGTTTATATCAGAGGTATTCAAAGGGTTGCGGCTGGTAAAGTGGTAAAATGTGTAAAAATATAATAACAATGTAAAATATAATTATAAATATCAACTATAATTATAATAAGGATTATAAAAATTATAACAAAATACACGCTGTCACTTAATTAAATGGTCATTTAAAGTTTTATTTCAAGTACTTAGACTTAAGTCATATAATTGTTATCACTAGAAATGTATCCAGCTCACTGAATATAATTTTTCTACCTTATTCACTTCTACATTTTTTTGTAAAGGTCTTATGACATAAATAAATATTAATACATTCATAACTATTATTTTTTTTTATCATTAATAAACTTGTGATTCCGTCAAAATATTTTGAAGACCCAAAGGACCTATGTGATAAAAATGATTGAATGCCTTTGGTTTATACATAGATAAATCTAATTTGTATATTTAAAACTAATATCTATTTATAAAGTGATAAAATAAAATACTATTTAAGTATCATTATAATAACATTTTATTTTTCAGGAACAAATCAATATTATTATTGTCCTACTATAGTATGTAAACGTGCATATAAATTTAAGAGGAACTTGAATACACACCTGAAATATGAATGTGGAGGAAAAAGACAATTTCAATGTCATTTATGTTGGAAAAAATTTTCGCAAAAAGGCAATTTGAAATCTCATTTAGCTATAATTCATAAAATAATTGCAAAAAATATAATTTGATTCGATATGTATTATGCTAGCAAACAAAAATATATATGTGCCCAATATTGTGATTATATTTTAAACTTATTTTTCTTTTATTACATTTAATTATATAGTTATCATTTAAGAAAACAATATAAACATGTTATAAGCAACTTTATACGTTATGAATGAAATATCTTTTTATATTATCAAATGGGCTTTGTGTTTACTATTTATAAACACTATTGTTTATTATAATTTATTCTTTTATACTTAGCTTAACCATTTATAATTGTATTTATTAAATAAAATATAAAAAGAAGTATTAGGTATCCAAATTGCATATTTATAATTGTTATACTGTTAACTTGTTTAGTGATTTTAAACAAAAAATAATACCATTGATTGTATAGTATAAAGTTATGGAAGAAATACTTTTAGTTATATTCTGTTCAGGAATATTACATTCAAAGGATATTCACATGTTGTTTCTATGAATTTCAGATTCATAATAAGGGAATTAATCATTAAATACCTATTATTTATAGTCAATGAGTAAACTATATAAAATAATTAGATATGTATTGTATTACTTATTTTAATATTTCATTATGCTGTATTATGCTTTTATAATTATTTAGTTTGAATATAAAATTTAAATTTTTAAATATCTTATTTATAAAGTGATGTATTTACATACAGACTGTAAGTATTAATACATTTTTTTTTTCAGGGACTACCCGAAATTATAATTGTCCTAATGTGTCATGCAAACGTGTATATAAATTGAAGACAAGCTTGAATAATCATCTAAAATTTGAATGTGGAGGACAAAGACAATTTCAATGTCATTTATGTCATAAAAATTTTGCCCAAAAAGTCACTTTGAAAAATCATTTAGCTATAATCCATAAAGTTATAAGATAAAATTGAATTAAATTCAGTATGTTTAATGTCAAGAAACAAAAATCTATTTATTTGTCTTATGTAATGATTATATTTCCTATATTTTATAATATTTAATATCTATTTTAAATTATAAGTATTATATTACTCTTAGTTAGTGACAAAGCGTTATAGGAGACAACTAAACATTGTGTACCCACTTAGAAAACTGATAGATGATTTGGTTTATTTATGCAAGTAAAATATTTTTTTTCAAAAATTGTAATGTAATAATATATTGCAAAATATTTTTTATTTTGCTATTGTATTCTTATAATAGACTATTTGCTAGCTGTATCCTTTCAAGTAAGCATCTAAGTGCAGTAAATAAATATAAATCAATGTTGATTTTTCTGATTCTGCTAGGCATGTGTGTAGGGGATATTGAAACATGAGTGGATAGTTATTGTTGTGTTATGAGGTAGGCCTGGCCGTTCATATTTTAAAGTAATTGGTATTTATTTGGTTATTGACGTCACATCATTGACCCCTCAAACTCGTTTATTGTACATTTATTTCTGGTGTGATATTGTCTGACTATGAGTATCATTAATTTTGTCATTATGCCTTATTTACTTATTTTTTCAATGCCTTCCTGATCTAAATACTCATGTCACTGCTGTTAACACACTGTGTCAATGTTTGCAATTGTATAATGTATGTACACATAATATAGGTACAATTATTTTCTGTGTATATTCGTGAATATTTTTTTTATTATTATTATTATTATTAGATAAAATAGAATATTTACAATCTGTAATATTTATATACACACAATAAGTAAATTTGATTATATAATAAAGGAACAACATGAATGGTGTGAGGTGGGAGGCCCACCAGTGTGGATACTCTCTAGCTTGGGGGAGAGAGTTTTATTTTTTTTTTTAAATTAGTGCAGTTCAGGATTCAGGAGATCGCGATACCAGTGTCTTTTTAGTCGACGTAGGGGGTTATTACTTATTAGGCATGAACTCATTGGCCAAGTTGGAAATCAATGAATTTGTGTGGTTAGCTGTTTTGGCGTGTAAATTGTTGTAGTAGTTTTTAGCTGTTTTAGAGACTTTCAATTTTAAGATCCTTATGTAGTGAGAGGTTTAAGACGTACCATGGCACAGATGTTATTAAGCGAAGGGAAATAGACTGGAAAGCTTGTATAGTCCGTATTTGGGAAGGCTTGGCACATCCCCAAATTTTGGACACCGTAGGCCCAGATAGGTTTTAACATTGATTTGTATATTGTTGTCAATAGAGAGTTTGGATTTGAGGATAGGCCGTAAAAGGTGAAGTCTGGTGTTAAGAGTCTTTCTTTTAATTTTGAGGTGTGGGCCCCAAGTTAGACGCTTGACTAAAATTATACCTAAGTATTGGGTTTAGATTGGATTGTTTTGAAAATAGATTGTAGGAAGAACCGCTTTTCTTTAAATAAAAGGAATGTGAAAGGATTATCTGTATTGATTTTTATTCTCCATTTGGTGGACCATTTTGAAATGTTATCAAGATGAATTTGAAGGTTTTGGTATGCTGTTGTGGAATCGGAATGGGGAAAGGATTGCCGTGTCGTCGGCGTAAGTGGCTATCAGTGTGTTTTCGGAGTTGGGAATGTCAGCTGTGTTAATGTTGTAGAGATCTGGTGATAAATCACTTCCTTGAGGTACTCCTGCTAAGATTTGTAATTGTGATGAGAGGGAGTCTCCTTGGCGGACGATAAATGAGCGGTTTTGTAGATATGATTTTATCAACAAGTAGAGTGGAGTCGGGAGGAACCTTTTTAGCTTAAAGGTAATCCGGTGTGCCAGACACGGTCGAACGCTTGTGATACTTCTACGAATACTCCCGGGCAGAAGTTTTTGATTTCAAATGACGAGGCTATTTCGTCAACAATTCGGTGTATCTGATGGGTATTGTGGAATGGTTTTCTCTGAAATCAAATTGGGTATTTGGTATAATTTTGTGGAACTTGGGAATAGGTCTAATTCGTTTAAGCATCACTTTTTCAAATAATTTCCCTAATACTGGTAAAAGGCTAATTGGTCTGTATGAGGAGGGTTCATTTTTTGGTTTGTTGGGTTTATGTATAAGGATAATTACAGATAGTTTCCAGATTAACGGAAAGTAGGACATTCTCAACATAGAATTAAAAATGTATGTGAGAAGAATTATTGACTTTTTAGGAAGATGTTGAAGTATTTTATTTGTTATTTGGTCATGTCCCGGAGATGTTTTGATTTTTAACTTTTGTATTAAGTTTTTTATTTCGTTGGGAGATGTGTGTTTGGTATTGAGTGACATTGGTAGCGGGCTAGTTAGGAAGTTTGTAATTTGGTTTAAGTGACTTGGTTCAGGAGTTATATCCTGATGAGGAGTAAATATTTCGGATAGGTGTTTACCAAAAGTGTTGGCTTTGTCAATGTCCGAGAAGACTAAGGTGCCGTCTGCTTTTTTTAAATGGAATGTTGATCTTTTATTTTTTAAATATTTTTGGTGGTTCTCCAGAAGGATCCATCTTTAGAACATTAGGACTCGTATTTGTGTTTGAATAACTCGGATTTGTGTATCCGAATTTTTGTTTTTATGGTATTGGACAGATGATTGTATCTTTTTTTGTCGGATGATAGTCTAGTGTGTTGCCAACGTGAGCGTGCAGGGCGCTTTTCGATAATTAGGGTTTTTATGTTGAGAGGTAAATCGTATTGATTTGAATTTGGTGGTTTGTTTGGATTAGGTCATTAGGAATATAAAATGAGTTTTAAATCGCTGCTTTTATTGAGTTGACAAAGTCTTGGGATGCTATTTCAATTTCGCTGGTGTTTTTTAGAGAGATTTTTAAGTTTGTGTTATTTTTTAAGATGGTAGATAATTTTTCCCAATTGACAGGACCTTTTGCGATTAAGCGTCGGGGAGGTTTGCAGGTTATTGAACCGTTTATTTCAAGAATGACCGGAGTGTGATCTGATGAAATTTCGCAACTATTTTGAATTTTATGTCTCATGTGTTTTAAAATTGAGGTGAGAAAGAAGTCTAGTATGTAAGGCTGACGATTTAGGTGAGTATGCCTGTAGGTTGGACCGTTTGGAGATATAGAAGAGCAGCCTAGTTTTTGGATGTTGTCAAGAAATAATCTCCTTCTAGAGTTTGTCAATCTGCTACCCCATTGTGTGTTCTTGGCGTTGAAATTACCACCGGCGATAAACGAGCGCCCAAGTGACTTAAAGAAATTTTCGATTTGAGAGGGCGTTATTGCCGGTAGAGGAGGACAGTAAACTGAGGATAGTGTAGTTTTAATATGATTTAGTACGATTTGGATATGTGTTGCTTGTTTTGTCGGCAGTTGGAGGCTTTGAAGTGGATAGTGTTGGATTTGGTTTGAAACTAAATGGCGGATTCCGTCAGGGTGGTCTGTATACTTGGAACCCAGAGAAAAAGTGATTAGTATTAGAAGTGTAGTGAGTTTCCGTTATTAGTGCGATGTCTATTTTACTTTAGATTAAAAGGTGTAGTAATTCTGGTTCGTTTTGTTTTAAACCGTTTGCATTCCATAGTATAATTTTTAAAGATTTAGTGTTGGGGAGATTAGTATTCATCATTTGAAATTAATTTATTGATTACTATGGTAAGCAATTGGATTAGCGGGTTAATTAGTAACTAAATTTTGGTTAAAATGAGGACATTAGTTTTTCTATGTTATTTTCTTTCGTTTGATTGTGTGTTTCACGTTGTGAGTACTTTTTTTTCATGTGTTTCGGGAAGGAGGGATGCATTAAGTCTCGTGTAATTGGTGTAGTCTGGGGAGTGTCTACACTGGGGTCCTGACCCACGAGTCGTGAATATAAATAAAAATGTATAATATTGTAAGAATAAATAATAAAATAATTTGTATCGTTGACCATAATATATCCCTGCATAATAAACTCTAGTATTTTTAAGCATATTTTTTTAAACTTATATCTATGTAAATAAAGTATGCATATTTTATTTAACACAACATAAAAATTGTGAATGAAAAATCAGTTTATATTATAATATCAGCTTTTTATTTATAACTACCTAATGTTAAAATATTCAAATAAATGTAAACACTTATTTTTATTAATTTCAATATCTCTTTTCAGGGTCTAAATCAAAAACAACTGGGAGTTACACGTGCCCAAATAAATCATGTAATAAAATCTTCAAGTCCAAAGGTAGTTACTTCAATCATGTGAATTATGAATGTGGTGGTCGCAAGCAATTTGAATGTTGGTTATGCCATAAGAAGTTTAGCCAAAAAGGCTCTTTAAAAAGTCATCTTGGTATTGTTCATAGTTATTTGTGTGGTACTGTGTGATTGATTGTTATGTTGAACCATTTAAACCTATAAATTCTACCATATTATTGTATACATAGACCTAAATACCTATAACCACTTAAATAACCACAAATCAACCACCGCAATTAATTTACAGCGTAATTTTTCAAATGTATATTATTTTAAGTAAATAAATGCAAATTTATTTGTGAAATTGGCATATGTTATGTTTATTTTTATTAATATTTCCTAGCGTGTTTTTTAGGCATTAATTTAACAATGTTGCAGAATATGTTTACAATTTAATAAAATATTTAAAATACCATCATATATTTACTTTTGCAACCTAGTTACCCACGGAAAAAAAACAGTTAGTTGTAATGTCATTAGATATTATTGTTTTGTATTTAATATACTGCATAATGGAAATAATTTTACACTGTAAGGTATTAAACAGAATAAAATCAAAAAGAAATTAATCTCAGTTTTCAATGTACAACATACAATTGGTTAATAAATACACAATATTACTAGGAGGTAAGGGTGTATCGGGTGTCAGATTCTATTTTCTGAAATTATTAATATCTTAATTACAATCATAATCCTTATTATTACCTACATATTTATCACTTTATTTTTATAATTTGTATTAAAGTAGTTCACATGATATGTATCAATAATCATTTTACCCCTGCCTTTTCAATAGGTACTTATCTTTTATCACCAGCACGTCATTTACACAGAATAAATATAATTTAGACATATATTTATGCAACATACCTATGTAGGTAAATTTCCTTTTTTTATAATATCATAATTATAATATTATCTTTCCAATGCCTTATGAACACGGTCAGCGCTCTATTATTTTTATTATTATTTAATATAGTTGCGTTCTTATATGTAAATTTTTAATAAATTGTTTAACATTTAGGTCTTCAATCTGAATACAGAAGTCAATCAAATGTATCCATTCCATATAAGTTTATATGTCCAAATTGTTGCCGAAGATATTCACATAAGCCCAGATTAGTACATCACTTGAAACATGAATGTGGTTACAAACGATTTATATGTAATATTTGTTATCGAACATTTGGAAGAAAAGATCACTTGAAAAATCATGTAATATGTGTTCACAAAGTAATTGCAAATACATGAAAAATAATTTTGGCCTTTGGTTAGATAATACAGGATGATTTTTTAAATATGCTATATGCGTTTCTCGCCAAGCACGCTATTTATTACTATTAAAAAGTTAATTGTCTTTATTTTTAGATTCTGAGCAGGTAAAATAGTTTTTTTTTTTTTGCAATAGTAACTATATGCTTTGATTTAAAAATGTCAATACTTTTATTTAATAGATATTTATTAAGCGATGTAAACTTGTTCAGAAATAATTATTTGTAACTCCAGTTTTAAGTATGTATACATTAAAATCTTTGCTGTATCTTAATACATAATTGTTTTCATATTTATCATTTATTCAATTCACACTATTTAATAAAAAAAAAAATATAACATTAGTTTATGTGTATATTAACAAATATGTTAAGCACCCTTTATACGCGGGTTTAATACATACATCTATGTTAAACATTAAAATAATATTCTCAGCATCTTCTGTTGACATAATAATATTTATAAATAAATTATAATTTTTGTTGACATTTATTACTTTTATATGTATTTTTTTTTTTAATTTAAAAATTATAGAATCTTTCCTTTTTCCCATATGTTTTTGTATTTAGATGTCTGTGATTATTCACAAATCTGTTTTATATTTTGTTGTTTCTAGTTAACATTTTCATGAGAATATGCCAATGTGGTATAGAGTTATTAAGCTAAAATATTATCATGAAAAGTTCATTTTCATTAGGTATACTGTTTTATACACTTTTTTCACACAACAAGATATCTAGGTTTATATTTGTTTAATTGTATAATAATGCTTGTGATTTGGTTAAATTATGTGATGTGTACTTAATACTTTAAAAGTATCCAAGAACTATTATGTTAATTACTTTTATGTTGTTTTTGTGATCAATATTATAATTTGTATTTTTGATTAAAGGGAAAAAATCCCAAAAATAAAAATACAGTAAATAGCCACATACCAACAAACACTAAACATTTAATGATTATTCTCTATAAATTCCTAATTTATAACTACTATAAATATTATCAGATTGATTGATATTATTTATTAATTAATATTTATGTAACACTGTTTTCAACATAATGTATTCATGCTTTAAATAATTTTAATATAACTATTCATGTTTGTACCTTAATATAATATAATTTAATAAAAATAGATGAGTACACTAAACATTGGTTTTTATTAGTCATATAATATGTTTATGTAATTGTATATAATATTATTAAAAATGTTTGAAAACCATATGAAATAAAAATAAAAATATAAAATAGGAAAATAGACAATATTATATTAAAAATATAGTACCTGCCTATCTAAGGTAAAAAATTGTGTATTTATATACTTTACCTAAAATTGCACCTGGAACTATTTTCACTTATGGTATTTTGTGTAATAACTAAATGAGATGTAAGTGATTTTTTTCCCAGGCTTTTTTTACTGTATTTTTATTTAGGGAGTTTTTTTTATATTATTTGGCCCAGGGTATGCATATGATTTTTGTCAGGTTTTTGAGGCCGAAAAATAAGAATGATCTGGGATGAAGATCTATACATAAAATTATAATGATTCAAAGAATTATATTGTTATCTACGTTTAGTATTACTTAAATTGTGAGTACTAAGGGAATGTACACACGTGTGTGTTGTCTTTATGTTATACATGTACAACATAAAACATATCAAATTTGCGTTCAGCAGAACCAATTTTGTATTGTTAGTTTTTTCTATTGCAGTGGATTAATCTGTTATCAACTTAATAGTTGTGATCATTATCTATGTTCGCATATGAAGTTTTTACTTTTACGGTATTTTAATTTTTAAGCAAGTTTAGTTTTTGGATGTAGAATAAATTGAAATGTGATAGGTAGTGTTCTTGACTCACTTATAAATTTGAATAGGTACCGTAAAAAACTTTTGTAAAAGACTTCAAGTTTTATAATAAGTTTATTCACTCTGATATTAAGGCTAACAACATAACATTGGTTCTGTTGTAGGTATGTTTGTTAATTATATACAACACATGTATGACAAACTCTTAAAATGCAATTCAAATCATGAAACAAATAACAGGTTCTGCTTACCCTGGATTAAACTTGGTCAAGATTTGTAAAAATAACATTATAAAATATAGTTATTAATAAGATATATTTCAGTATGAGAGAATACAAATTCAGACAAATGTTATTATTTTTTCAGATTCAGACACAAAACAATTAAGATTTATTTGTCCCAATAATTGTGGGAAATCATACAGAATAAAAAGATCAGTCGGTAGACACCTTAAGTACAAATGTGGAGTAGAACCAATGTTTGAATGTACAATTTGCTACAAAAAATTTGCATTAAAAGAATCAATGAAAAAACATGTGATTCAAAAACATGACCAATATTATTTATCATAATAATATTATATTTATCATTACTCATTTATTTTAACTTTAGTTAGATGGTAGTTACCTAACATTGTTAAATAGTACTTAATTACAATGGCAATTTATGATATCATTAAGAACTTCTAAAATAATATAGGACTGTATTTGCAAAAAAATTAAAAATTCTTACTAAACTCATAAAATAAAACAAATCCATCATTATAATTTCCCTATTTTTCATATTTTGAAGTAGAAATAAAATAAAATATTAATGTAAATTTATACAAACTAATTTTGAATAATTAAAATATTTGGTTTTTTGTCCCTAGCTTACGTAGCTGGGTGGCACATTCTGACTCTGACATATTATGTTTTTGACGGCTTTTGAAAGACGCCACATGTTGTACACAAAATCGTTTATTAAACTATTTTTGCGTTAATCTCGTATGTCCTATATTCAATTACCTACCTAGTTATAATAATAAATTGTACTTTAACAAACATTAAAAGTGATATTATATTTAATTTAACAATAATAAATATAAGACAACTATCAATTATATTTATGTGTATGTTTCTATATTTAATACCCATAAGTTCATAACCCGTGTATATTATCTTATAAAATTGTAATAAACGATGTATTAAACTTACGGGGCTATAAATTTGATAAATTATTTAAGAATTTATTCCTGCTAAATAATGGCTAGTAATTATAAATAATGAATAACGTATGTCAATCTGATGGAAACCCGGGGGTGGGGCTTACTGCTTAGCCCTTCAAAACTTATTTATCCGTGTTCGGTGTAGGCGACGCATAGAGTAATAAGAATAATATAGAAGTGACAATGTTTAATTAATTTGAGTAGCAAACAGACACGATGCAATGTGACTATTAACAGAAAAATAATTATGGAATAGTTCTATACTCTGTTCAAAATGAGATCAAACCTCGGCGACGACCAGTTTTCGTTCCGCGGCGATCAGACGCCGTCCCCACTACAGCGGCATGTCGGGCGCTGCCACGGAACAAAGCCACGCCCATGCGCACAACTCGGCCGCCGAGGTCCGATCTCATTTTGAACTGTAGAAAACTTAAAAAAAACTTAACTCCAAATAAAAATACCACCTGCTTAAAAAAAATTAACATTTGTATAGGCGAAATACTCATTTCCGAAGCACCACATTAGTGACTCGTTAATAATTATTAAAAGCAAAAATAATTAATTATTACAGTAATAAAATTATTGGTGTAGAAATTCAATATTCTTAAAAAATGTAGATAGTGTATGTGCTCCTGTGCTTCATAGCACGAGCCGCCACGGACTGGTGTCTGGTAATATTATTATATTACAATAAATATTATTTAATATTTTTTTACTTATTAAGTATCGCCATTGGATATAAAAAGTACTATTGTTATCTAAAATAATAAATAGAATGCTGTACCATCTAGCTTTATATGTATTTGGTAATAAACACACATGGCGGTGAAAGTAGCATCAATACAGCATATGGGCTGATAGACAATTGCCATCTCTATATTCTTATTACTCTTTGCAACAACGCAATTTATTATTTGTCTATATTCTATAAGTATGGCACCAACACTGTCTCTGTACTATACATCTGTAATTTTTTTAGAGTGATACGCACATAGATAATATATACATGGATAGGACATCCCTATGACCCTATACCTTAGACCTTAGATCATATACACTGGATAGTGCTATAGCGTATATCACGCGCAGTCCGTGTTTGAAGCAGACCTGTTCATGCCCGAAGTACTTACTGCGCATGCGTGAGAAATGAAATAGATCGCGCGGGACGGGGAAGGAACAATAATGTGTTATAGTGATAAGGACGATTAGGTACTGAATGCTTAGATCATATACTTTGCTCATGCGCAGTGATGACTTCGGGCACGAACAGCTATGCTTCAAGATTTTAAACCATAGCTCTATCCAGTGTATATGATCTAAGCCTTAGACACACGGTATACTGTGCCCGAAGAGAATATATGTTACCACAGTGGTTACTTGTGGTTATTGTAGTGGTTCTGGTAAAAATATGTTTTCATATAGATTATGCTTATGAAATATCAATTGATAATAAAATGTTTTTATTAATTTTGGCCATTGTTCTATGTTTTGGCGTAATCACTTATCAAAATAAACCATTGAGGTTACCGGACATAACCATTGCGGTAACGTGTATTCATTTGAGGCACACGCCAACCCCCCTAATGTCCTATCCATGTATCTATGGATACGCACTTGTCCGAAAATGATAAAAGTAGTGATGGTTACTCTGTGACCAACTTGAGGTGGTATTGCATATCAAGTCGAGGGATATTATTCGTTTTTTTTTAGTCCAAACGCAGTGCAGCGAGCGAGTGGCCACGTGGGCATCACTGTAATTAATTTCAAGTTTGGAGTCGCTGATGGCTCGTTGGTATATTATGGTATAAGCACAGATATATAAAAAATACTAGATAGCCGACTTGGAAATGATTTTGAAGCCCACAAAATGGCCAAAATTCTCTCATCTAAGAGGCAAATGTTTACATTTTCACAACACTGATATAGGATATCAATATTATCAATTTATTATTTATCATATGAATATCAGACTTTCTAAGTTCATGATTTTTATAACTTTATAATTTTTGAAATACTATTTCCTAGTTTAGGTATAATGAAGTAAATATATTTTAATATTTTTAAAATCTAAGTGAGTGAAATGTTTACTGCATACCCTGCTATATTTTGTAAGAACAAATCCTTTTATTTGTACTGCATCTATCCACTTTTTTGTTATTTCTTTATTTAATAAAGGAAAACTAAAAATCAAAAGATAATGACATTTTATTTAAACAAATGATGAAACAAATGGATACCATAATTTGCAACTCTTTTACTGTTGCACTGCCACGCACAGCAAAAATAAACCATTTTATTAAAAGAATAAACTACTTATGGCACATTACAATAAAAATCTAAAATGTATTAATTATAGACCTACTTATTTAAGAGAGCTAATCATTGTGCATCATCTTTTAAAAGATTGGTATGAATGTATGATAATAAAAATTTGTATAATACATCAATCTTTAAGTATATATCCTTAATAAGTTAGGTATTATAATTATTTATTTAGGTCTTGGCGGTATTACATAATTGATTTATACTTATAGGTTATAGCGATTACATTTTAGCGTGGGTAACTCAACTAAAAATTTATTAATCAAAATCATTCTTAATAAAACCAAATTTAATTTTACTCAGATCAACCGAATTCAAGCATGTGTGTATTGGATAAGCTTAAAACTTTTTTATTTAACATGTTTATCTACATTGTATTTCTCATTTGTTACAATAAATAATATTGTTATTGCTATTATTAATTAATTAAAATAATAATAGAATTTAAGATTATAATTATATTTATAATTTTAATCTAAATGTGTACGATGTATTATTAATACATTTTTAGTAGTTTTCTTTTCCGCCATAACATTAGTATGGTTTATCATTTTATCATAATATAAATTTTGTAAACATTCACCTCTTAGATAAGAAAATCTCGGCCATTTTGTAGGCTTCATAATTTTTACATTGTAGGAATAGGGAGTCGTCTATCTAGTATTTTTACATATCTGTATTCTGTGGGTATAAGTCATGATATCAACTTCCTTATCATTTTTCGGAAAACTGCCCCCACCCATTACTATTGCATATCGACATATCGTGTGTGCGAAGTTGGACTACGAAACTCGTAAATATTGGGAAATACAGGTGGTTAAGTATAAAATACCATTGATTCGGGAATTAACAAGGGTTTATTGAGGAACGATTTTGGATATTAGAATCGGTCGAATCTTCTCGAGATATAAATATTAAGGCGTTGCCGCCGGCAGCAGGTAAAGGAAAACAACAATGGAGAACAAATAATATCACAAAAGGCGGACAAGGCGGTCGAAAACACTAATCAAATTTTGTGTCAACAACAACTTGGAACACAGAACTTGTAAGTGTCCAACATTCATCGCACTGCTGATAAGCGGTCTTATTGAGAAAATTGCATGTCTAAAATTATGTAAAATATGTTTACATAAATATGAGTGAAAATGTTTTTCGAGATTTTGTTTCAAATGTTCCAAACCCCATAACACATTGTAACATCTACAGCCGTAAAAAGTCTCAGATTCGGAAGGTACAGTGGAAAGGACTCAGAAACGGTGAAAATGAAAAATAGACACGAACCGGTCATAGACGTGACGAGTTCAACGACCGCTCACGCGAATAGTAATTACGAGCGCGTATAGTTAGCCACAGCTGTCGTACGCGTTATCAATACGTGCGGTAAGTCCCCGTTCGCACCTGTGTTATTGGATTATGGGACAATCAATTATTTTATATCGACTGAATTAGTAAATAGTTTAAGTTTACGACAAAAGAAAACGGGTCATATAGTAAGGCAAGCACAGTTTTAGGCTAAAACAAAATATCACATCTGCGGCGGGGTTAAAATAAAATCTTGGGTGAACGGTTACGAATTAAACATACCAGTTTAAGGTTTAATGGTAAAGAAGATAACGGGAAATCTACCGACGAAATTTATTTCCGAAAACGGTCCTCGACCTTATGTTGGATAAAGTCTACTTCAATAAAAATGGAAAACCTTTGATTCACATCGGGTTGGCGAGATTCAAGAAAAGACCTCGTTAACTGAATGGTTTCATGTGAGAGGCAGTAAAAATCCTGCGGACATTATATCGCGTGAGTGCTGTCTTACCGAATTATTCCGCTATACTCTTTGGTGGCATGATCCCGAGTGGTTAATTTAAAATGAAGAACTTTGGCCGGTTATCCAACAGGAAGAGACATCAAACGATCTCGTGGATATGCCGGAAGAAAAAAATTGAGTGTCAGTGGTGTAACTACATCCGAAAATGATTTGATTGTTTACAGATATTCGTCCATAAAAAAGATGTCTCGAATTGTGGCATATTGTATGCTTTTGAGGTCAAACTGTTTAGGTCGTAAGCAAAAAAAGAAAAGAAACTATTTAAAAGAGCCCACTTTATGGATTAATACCATATCTTGATATAATTCTTGTAGATGGAATACTGAAATACGCTGCACTTTTAAACGCCATCCTGCAGTGTTACCAGCTAAAAGTATTTTTACTCAAAATTTAATACGTGAAGAGCAAAAAGATCAGATGCACGGTGGTCCTCAAGATGTTTTAGCGTCTATGCGTGAAAGGTATAGGTCTATAAATGGACGAAATGTCACACGAAACGTGGTGAGTAATTTGCAAATGCGTTATCTGTTTTAAACAACGCTCAATAATCCTAAAGCCTATAATAGGTGATCTACCACCCTACCTAAAGGCGGAGTTGAAACCGGTCACGCTTTTCTGAAATGTGGCATCGACTATGCCGGTCCTTTTTCATTAAAATCGGGACCACGAAAAAACTCTCCAATTATAAAAGCTTGCGTTTGTTTATTTATTTGTTTCTCTACGCGTGCAGTACATTTGGAAGTAATGAGCGAGTTAAGTACCGACGCCTTTCTACTCATGCTTAATCGACTTTTTGACCAACGCTGTAGAAGTCTAGTAATGTATTCTGGTAATGCAACGAATTTTGTAGTCACGAATCCTCAGTTAAAAGAACTATACGAATTATTGCAATGAGATGATCATTAAAGTAAAACTGCTGAAATTGATCAACTCTAGGCGTTGAATGGAAATTTATACTATCGCTCCCCATTTTGGAGGTTTGTGGAAAGCCGGAATAAAATCCATGAAGTATTTATTGCGTCACGTACTGGGTGATGCTCATCCAACTTATTAACTATACTTACATATGCCGTAGCCTGTTTAAATAGTCAACCTTTAATTCCTATTTCGTCAGATTCAAATGATTTGATTCCTCTAGGTCCTTGCAACTTCCTTATAGGAGATTCTCTAACCGCTATACCAGAAATCGACGAGTCAACTGTGCCAATCAACCGTCTGAATAAATGGCGCCGAGTATCTCAATACTCTCAAAACTCGTGGAAACGATGTAGTAGTGAATACCTACTTATCGCAACTTCGAGAAAGAGACAAGTGGGAGTGGGCTAGAACGAATGGTCCAAAATTGAATGTTCCTTGGTGTAGCTGAAAGACGAAAATCTCACCCCTTTACGATGACGTATGGGACGTGTTTCCAAGGTAACGAAATCAGCTTTTTTCCAACCAACAATAATTAATACAAGAGTATATATATTTTAATGTATCTAGCTACCGGCTACCAATCTATTTGTCTTCATTAATTCCGTGTATATCCAGGAATAAATATCAAATGATATTATTTTTAACGGAATAATAATTATTAAACAATTACCATAAATATTTGTATATTTTTCTTTATTTATTCTGCATATTTATAAATTTATAATTTATCATCAACCATAATATGAGGCTCATATCCTGATCATGTTATCACTGATCCTAAATTAGACTTTAAGGTTAATACATATTTTTCAATAATTGATGCTGCTATTATTGCAATTGAAGAAAGATTTCATTCAACAGGACAACATTTACTAAGAGATATTTCGCTTTTTTCAAATTTTCGTCTCCGTCAAACAAAAAAAGATAATTGTTCATTACCCAAAGATGCCTTTGATACATTTTGTAAAGTTTATTGTAAATTTATCAATAGCTCTGATTTAAAAAAGGAATACATCCAATACTCAAACTCATTTTTTGAATTTGAAGAATCGGTAGGTTTTCACAAAACTTATTTACATGTAGAAAATGATGAAAGTGAAAATAGTGGAGACAATGAAGGTGAAGACAATTCTGGAGAAGAAGCAGGGGAAACAATAGTTGATAATAAGCAACATTTACAAAATTTGGGAACACTACTTCATTTATTCTAAGTTTGTCATAAATCTGGCTTGAAAATGGTTTTTCCGTGCTTGTATGATGCGTTGCATATTGCGAGTACATTACCAGTATCAAGTACGACACCGGAAAGAACATTTTCAAAACTAAAAATTATTAAAAACAGGTTGAGAACTACAATATCCCAAGAGCGCTTGGAAGATTTGATGTTCATATCTTGTGAATCTGATGTAAATATCAATAACGAACATGTCATAAAATATTTTTCTGAATTTAGCACTGTTTTAAAAAAATATTTAATGTAATACACATCCATAAATTATTTTTTAACCTGTATAAAGTATTATTGTACTTTTGTATATTGTATATTGATGTGTTATTAAAACTATATAAAAAAATTATATAATTTTTGTTTTGCAATTTTTGAAAATAATGTACCCCAAAGTTAGATTATTAGTACATCAATGCATCTTATTAAATAATTAACTAAAAAGTGTGTTTAGATTAAAACACTTGAAAGACAGATTTTAAAGGTATTTTTGTGATTGAATAAGTTATTTGCGAGCGTAGCGATCGGCTTTGGTAGAGTTCAAAATTTTAAATAATATATGTTATCAATGTTTAATTGATGTACAGGTAGGTGGGTGGCTATTGATTTAACTATTTGAACCATATATTTCATAGGTGTTGTGCGTCACTGTAATATGAGCTATGAGTTTAAAAATATATTCCATTTAAATAATACTTAAAAATGATAAACCATTTATTAACCACGACCATTTAAAAGAAACTATCAACTAAATTACTCGGAGAGCTCTTCCTCCAGCCCTGATAAATATCTATTTATATTCATTAATCTATATTTTTATTCTATTATGAATTTTTGTAATATAAAATAAATGTAAGTTTAAGATACGTTAATCAACCTAACAAACATGGCTCAATGGCTGCCCCAAGTTCTGCGGATATTTGTACAAATATAGATATTGGTTCACCGACATTTTTATTACAATTGCGAAATAAAAAAGGCATTTAAACGGTCGTCATTAAATATATATTTGAAGCTTATTCATAAATATATTCTACAATAAAAAAATAAGAACCATTTTGGTGTATAGGCTACAACAGCATCTACATTTTTATATAATAATTGGATATTCAATATAATGATAGTTATAAGACTATGTTATTGGAAACGTTTATATAATTGCAGTTTACCATGCGGCTGTATCTCACAATCTCAAAAAATCTTTGTAGAATACTAGAATGTAATATTAATATTCAGGATAGTATTTACAGATTACGTACAATTTTAAAACTATGATCAAATAATTAGTAAGATACCTATTTTGTTTTGTTTTTATTATTAGCTTCGTACAGTAGCAATGTACTTCTGCAGCTCGGGAAGCTTTTATCTGTATAAAAATTTGACCATAAATTATATCGTTTTTAATTATTATATTTCAAAAAATGTAAATTAAAGTTATTATTTTTCAGAATCAATGAAACCAAGGTTTGCTTGCCCCAATTTATGCGGAAAATCATACAAAGATAAAGTATCGGTTGTTCGACATCTTAAATACAATTGTAAAATGGAAACGATGTTTGAATGTCCGGTTTGCTTCAGACAATTCACTAACAAACAATCTATGAAAAGACATTCAATACTGGTTCATAAACATTTTCCAGAATAAAATATAACAGGTCTGCAGCAGAATATAACAGCGTCTATAATAGTATAATCTATATGTATTGATATTTTTAAATTAAATATGTAATTGTGAATTATTGAAAATGCTAATAGAATTTTACAGAATTCTATTTAGGCGAGCTCAAGTTCCTAATCATAATGGATTTAATATAGATAACCTATAGCTATGTAAATATGTATAAAAATATAATACATGATTATGGTTTATATCTATTGTTATAGGTATAAATCTACCTATGATATAGTAGTACCTATTTATTTTTTCTAACCTCATATACCTATTAGTTATAAATCATCATCATATTACATTGATGGCTTTAACTATCCTTAAATGGCCGCCTTAACTATAATGTGTTCTTGTTTCAAAAATTTATTTTAAATGCAATACTCATTTTATATTATTATGTTTACAAATTTATGATACATAATAAACTAATATGCTAGTACATAATATATCACGGCTATGCTAATAAATTATTTTAATCTAATAAATACCTAAAATTAATAACATTTTTTCAGAACAAAAAAAATTGAGAATTTTTTGCCCTAACTCCTGTGGAAGATCATACAAAAATAAATGCTCGATTGGTCGACATCTTAAATTTGAATGTGGAGTACAACCAAAATTTAAATGTTTTATTTGCTACAAAAGATTTACTGATAAACAATCGATGAAGAGACATGTGATACTGATTCACAGACATTTTGGGATAAATAACAACAGCTTTTGACATTTATATATTGAATAATATTCTACTTTCACTTTAAAAATACTTAATAGTTACCTATTTTAAATACTTTAATACTATATATTTTATATTTTAATTAATGTATTCAATTGTATCAATAAAATTATATCTTATTCTGTTAGTTATTGACAATTGTTATGTAATTATTGTTGCTTAACCTACCAGCTTCAGTAATCATAATCAGTGTTTAAGTGGTTCTGCTTGAATTTGATGGTGAACTAAGTATTTCATATTTTTTAAACATATTTTAGCGTAAATATATATATTGGAATTTTTGGCCAAACAAAATGTTCAATATAATTATTTAAAATTTTCATTTCTTAGGTGATATTGTATTTTGTACCTACAATTATCAAGAGATAATCAAAACAATTTATAAACCTATAAATTACTAAACCACCAACAAAAAAACCCAATATGAAATACCTATACAAAAATGTGATGTTTTGATAAAATCTAAAGCGGGTAGTAATAATTAATTTTTTTCAGAAAAAATGGAATCAAGATTTTTATGTCCTAACAAATGCGGAAGATCATACAAGAATAAAGGCTCTGTTAATCAACATCTTAAATATGAATGTGGGGTACAACCAAAATTTATATGTTATATTTGCACCAAAAGATTTGCATACATGACACAGTTGAAGAAACATTTAGGTTTAACTCATAAGGTTTTTTCATAATTCATTTTTATACATTTCATTTTTTACTATTAAAAGCAAGTACAATTAAAAAAAAAATTCTCAATGTATTGGTTTTCTTATACATTATTATCCTAAAATGTAATTCCTGTGCATATTCAACATTATCTTGTCAAATATTAAGATTAAGGACGATGTGTAGAATTAATTGTACAACAATATTGTTATGTACTCAGTGGCGGATTTAACAGTTGTTTAGTCAAAAAATTCCAAAGGGGCCCTCTTGTGATTTGTACACGGAGGACCACTAAAATTGTATGGTTAATTTTTTTTTAAATTTTGACCATAAAAAAAAAATAAATGTTATAATTCAAACTGCAATATCATTTACCATTGTTAGGTTAGATTAATTAAAACAACAATTTCACAAGTATGATATTGATACAAATTTTTGTACGAGGTCCCTCTTAGTGCCTACTATAGGTGTTACTATATTATACTGAACCCAATCGAAATCTTAGATCTATACTATCAATATAAAACTTCTCTTCTTTTTTAAACATATTTTAGAGCACCTCTTTTAGAACTAAATTTTTCACCCTTGAACACACCCTACTTATCTCTTGTGTGTGTACATCACTGCATAATTTTTTGTTTTAGCATGATTAATGTAATTTGTATATCTCGATGATCATGGTTCAAAGATTATTAAATCATTATTAACATACTATATTATATTATATTATTTATACTATATTATTAATTATATCAAAATGACTTCCGTGGTAAGTTAATCATTATTACGCTTATTAAATAAAATTAAAATTAAAAAATATATATATATTATAATATTAAAGTAACAAATATTTTTAAATTATCGTCCTAACCAAAATTAATTTATAAGTGTTATCTATCGATTTCATTATTAGCTATATTTACCTATTGGTAAGCACTTTTCACATCTTCCCAAAATCCTAGAATAATAAGTTTTGATTTTTGTTTCTTTAATTTTACACCTGTACAATAATATTTTGTGTACATTTTCATGTTTATTAAGAATATAATAAAGAATATTGTGTGTTCTTTGTAAAACCTACATTGCTAATAAACTATTTTCTTTAAAAGTAGGTAACATTAATTTAATTTGGAGGTCCAGCTGTCATTGTGAAAACTGCTCAGTTCTAATAAAAGTGCCTACACAAAAAAAGTTTTAATTACTATTTTTTTTCAGGCAAAATTGAATCAAGATCTGTATGCCCCAACTATTGTGGAAGATCATACAAAAATAAATGCTCACTTTGGCGGCATCTTAAATATGAATGTGGAGTACAGCCAAAATTTAAATGTCTTATTTGCAATAAACAATTTGCACATAATGCAAAATTGAAAGAACATTTAGGTTTTGTCCATAATGTTATTAATGCATGTCATAATTAAATACGTTTTTTTACTTAATTGTTTATGTTTGTTTTTATAACTTTTGGAAAGAAAATCTCAATATACTAGTTTCTTAATGTTTATTATCCTGAAAATAAGTACCTAATTCCTACGCATATCGTTATCTAATCAAATATTTAAATTGAATCGTCCCCTTATGATGAGCAATAATCAGTGTTTTATTATTTTAATTAGAGTATTTTGAGTAATTAATTTGTATAACCTAAAACTTTTACACCGAACCCAGACACAGGCACACAGCTAGGTACGAGTCAGGTAAGACCAGGCCCGGACTAACACTATCGTAGTATCGTAGGCCCTAGGCCAGGGATGGCAAATCCGCAAATCCATGGCACGCGTTCCCGAGGTGACACGCGAAAAGATTTTGTAGGCACGCGAAAATTTTTACTAATTTATATTATATAATATTATAGGACCTTTTTTTTTTCAGTTTTGAACCGACGGCGCCGTGGGGACTACTTTCGCATTACTTCCGCGAAATATTATAGGACCTATAATAACCTAAACTAACCTTTTTATACTAATACATTAATTACCTATACAATCAAGTTATAGTATATAATATTTTTAATATTTTTTTCATGGCACGCTCTAAAAAAAAAAAATGTTATTACTAATTTTGGGCACGCAGTGTTCAAAGGGTTTGCCATCCCTGCCCTAGTCACAGGCTTTATTACCCACGTGCTAATACGGTCCTGTAGTGTTCGGTATATATGTATATGATTAAGAAACCTAATGCTTGGGAGAGGTAGTGTTGACTCTCAGTGTTTTAAGCTTTTAAAAACGAAAATATTTTATTACAACATGAAAATCAAATATTAACTTTTATAATTATAACTTTATCTGATAACAATTTTAACACATCTAAAAATACATTTTATTTTACTCAAAACATATTATTTAAAATTAAATCGCCAGAAACCATAAAAAACAACTTATCTTATACCATTTTGCATTTTCTTCCTCGTCGACCGATCATGTCCCGCATGGCCGCATATAATTCTTATTATTAGGTATTATACAACATAATATTGAATATTAATGTACGATTTGTGTGTGTGTGTGTGTCTGCGGTCGATAATTATTTATATAAAGTTAACGATATTATTTTTTTATTATTTCCTAAAATACTCAAAACAGTAATCGTGGTTTCATCCATCATAAACAGTCGTTTGCCCGTATACCGTATGCATCTTATCGGTTTATGGTTTATCCAATCTGATTTCAATAAGTAATTATTATGAATTACGATACGGACATAGAGTGTAAATATACGAGAAATATTGAAAATATTTTATTTGTTTTGCTAACATCTACAGATCGTTAATTAACTTAAAATAAAAAATATTACAGAAAAATCGTAGCCATACATTTCATTTTCGTAGACCCTAAAATGTCCGTAGGCCCTGGGCACAGACGCACAGTGCTTATAGTGCCTATACCCTAATACGGCCCTGGGTAAGACAATATATAAAATATATAAAATATATTATTATTGACTGCATTATAAGGAGTCCAGTTGTCACTCGTAGGATTCGGTATAGAGAGGTTGTTACTCTGGTGGTCCACATATGCACTAGCGAAGGGACGACCCGGTTGTGCTGACCAGAGGGCAGAGAGTGACAGGCAGCTTCATCAAAGTGTTGTTTTGTGCAACCGAGAGGAAGATTTCTCTTCTGCAACAAGGACTTTTTTTACCATACCTTTTCTCTGGTGGCATGTAGGAAACCCACACGCCCTACGCTTTACCGTTTAAAACATAGGTACATGCCGATTTCTTAATCCGTGATAGTAGGTATGACTAGACTATAATTGTTGTCTGTGACAAAGATTTATTGGGGTCTGGAGATTTTCGATTTCTACGTGCGAGAGTCTGGACGTTATTAATTTATCTGTTACATTTTATTGAATTGTTATAATGATGTGCAAGCATATCATTGCAATTTTTTATTTTTTTAACTCTTGAAAAAAAATCAATATATTAGTTTCTTAATGATTATTATCCTGAAAATAAGTACCTAATTCCTAAGCTTATTGATTATCTAACCAAATATTTAAATCGAATATTAAGTTTGATACTTAGTCCCCCCCCCCAAAATTTACACCAATGCTGGTAAGCATTCTTTACATATTCTATAAATCATATTATAATATAACGAGTCATTTGTTTTGTAATTTGTTATTTTATCCCTAGGTATTCTATAATCAGGCGCGGACTAGTAAAAAAGGGTGCCTGATGCTACATAATTTAAAGGGCAAATAAAACAAATTTTAAATAATAGGTTATTTATACAATATTTAAACATTTTCTTTTGTTTTAATAAAATTTTGTAAATACGTTAAAAATGTAAATAGGTGCCAAATTACAACAGCAAGGCAAGGTTAAGCAACGGCAAACTTAAGGGTCAGTAAATTGTGATTAATTTTTGCCCCCCCCCCCCAACCCCCGCCCCATAAAAATTAGAGCTAAGTTCCTCTTATAAGATTGTGTTAATAATAAATTAAGAAAGTATATTTAATGTATATAAAAAGCTGCTCAAACTAATTTACCTATTTTCTTATTGGCTATCTACTTTAAATGTATTCTTTTTTTTTTATGATTTATTTATTTATTTATTTTTTTTTTTTATTAGTTATTACATAAATAATAGATCTACATCTACCTACGATTTTATCAGAGAATTTTAACCTTCTCCTTCAAAATTCAGATTAATTTTAGGTGGGCACATTTATACCGATAGTGGCAAATATATTTTAGGGCAAGGGATGCTGTAGCATCCCAGCATCAAAGCCAGTCCGCGCCTGACTATAATATTTTGTATACATAAATAATATATACCATATACGTATTACTACCTAGTACCTATGTTTTTGATGCATACTGTGTGTACTTTGTAAGAACTACATTGCTAATAATCTATTTTCATTTTAATAATATTGGTAGTATATTAATTGCATTTAGGAGCCAAGCCTTGTCTAAGCCATGTATCATGAAAACGTTCAGTGCCCATGAAATAGTGCACTAGTGCCAACAAAAGAAAAACTTTTTTTTTCAGATAAAATGGAATCAAAATCTGTATGCCCCAACTACTGTGGAAGATCATACAACAATAAAGTTTGCTTTGGCGACATCTTAAGTCTGGATGTGGAATACCACCAACATTAAAAGTCTTGTTTGCTACATAAGATTAGCATA